TTACTTTACAGATAATCAGATTTGATTACTTTTAGATGACTTTTGACTGGTTTATCACATTGATTTATATTGTGTAATCGTGTACCATACTGATATAAAAATACAAAAAGAAAAAATATATATTTAAAAAGTTACAAATATATACAAAAAAAGAATCTCTGCATTACATACATTTTAATGTGTTTAAAAGATGAAAGCCTCGAAAGAAATAGGAATGCATGCTTAAATGATAATTCAAATAAAAATTAATGTGTTTATCAGTAGTTGATGCAATGTTGACATTTCTTAAAAATGTAAATTATTTTTGTGAATCCAGCGGTCAAATGCTGTGGACTCTCATTTTTTTGTGTGTAATTATAGGCACCTGATTATAGTTACAGTATATTATATAATTATAATAGCGACTGTTCTTTGTGTGAATGTCCACAAAACTGGAAGAATGTATGCAAGCGATAGGCTATTTTAGAAAGCTAAGTTCAAAAGATGAAAAAGAAGAATTGGGGGCAGTCGATGAATTATGAATTCTTTCTTTTGCTATTGTGTAAATCATGTAATCAATACAAAATTAACTTGTCTGATTACGAGTATTTTAAAATGTAATTTAATCTAATTACAAGTACTTAATTTTTGGATTACATCATCTTGATTACAAGTGATCACACACACAATTGTCTGTCAGTTTTGCACAGGCAAACATTTTCATATCATATTTTCTCCAGTAAATCTAGTCTGAGTTCAGGTTGTAATGTGATCATATTGTCTGTCTGAAGAAGAATAAACAAACAACGTCATTCCAGTAATTCACAGAGATTGAAATGATGAAATCTTTAGTTATGAATTTGGTTTTCTGAGCAGCTTCCCGTCTCTCTCACTGTCTGTCAGTCAGCGATGCTTGTTGAATATTTCTATTGTTTTATAGATTCACAGCAAACTGAATTTAATGCACATCATCTTGATTACAAGTGATCACACACACAATTGTCTGTCAGTTTTGCACAGGCAAACATTTTCATATCATATTTTCTCCAGTAAATCTAGTCTGAGTTCAGGTTGTAATGTGATCATATTGTCTGTCTGAAGAAGAATAAACAAGCAACGTCATTCCAGTAATTCACAGAGATTGAAATGATGAAATCTTTAGTTATGAATTTGGTTTTCTGAGCAGCTTCCCGTCTCTCTCACTGTCTGTCAGTCAGCGATGCTTGTTGAATATTTCTATTGTTTTATAGATTCACAGCAAACTGAATTTCGGCCCATAAACCGTAAATCTCAGAGCTGCTTGCAGCACGTCTCTGATTCTTATACTATAAATGTCACTAAATAAAGCAGCTGAATGCCAGTTGACCTGTTGACAGTTTGGTGTGTTAACAGCAGAAAGAACTGCGTAAACACAAGTTTTTCAGTGTAGAGATTTCCTCCCCGCTCTAGCCTTCAAGTCATGTCGCAATGATTTTTTTATGAGATGAGCGCATATGAACACTGCTATGTTGTAATTACCAGCGGGAAAATGTGTGTTTTTCTTTGAGCTCAGACCCAGATAACAAAAGAACGTTTCGCCAACGTTCACATTAAGTTATAAAAACATCTTCTGTTTTATACATTTTTTGGTTACATGAACATTAAGGCAATGCTCCATTTTATGATTTTGCAAACATTATGAGAATGCTACATTTGAATGTTCTCTGGATGTTTTGAAACAAGTAGTAACATTTAAAAATTAACGTTAGATGAATGTCCAACTAACTAAAAATAAAACGTTTCATGAACGATGTAGAAGTAATTATTTTTAGAACATTAAGGCCAGATAACTCTGAATGAACATTCTATTAATGTTACTGGAAGAACGTTTGTTCATAACTTTGAGAGAACCTTTCCAGAACATTCTGACAATGTTCCGAGTTGGAGGTGTGTCTAAATTGAATAATGGTGGACGCGGGTTTGTGCAGTAAAGCAATATAGTGAATGTTGACTCACCCTTATTCCTCTAAAGATCTCTAGGTTCACCTTTTATCCGGTTTCTTTAGATCATCTTCTTGTTTGCTGCATTCGAACAGGTTCAGATAAGCTCCGCCCCCTGATCACTAAAAACAAACCCCCAGAACTCAACAAATCCGGGTTTGGGTCTGAGTCAGAGTAGCTGGATCAAGCATGAAGCCTTTCCTCTCAAAGCCAGACTCGGCGCGGATAAAACCCTGTCAATCACAGCGCATATGAAAACATGCCTTCCTACAGAGAGGTTTCAGAAGAGCATCTGTCAGATTTACACCGTGTATGACAGCATTATGTGAGGAACAGGCCCAAATTTTCATGGCGCTTTTTGGCTGACCGTCTTTCACTTTCATTCTATGAAAAAAAAAAGAACTCTTATGTTCCACAGAAGAAAATCACACAGGTTTCGTGTGACATGAAGGTGAGTAGATGATAACAGTATTTGGCTGTCTGGGTGCACCGTCCCTTTAAGAGCCGATGCATCAGGCTTACACTAATCTGTCAACTGCGAATGACGAGTACAGCTTTCTTCTGTGTGTGTGTGTGTGTGTGTGTGTGTGTGCGTTTCACTCTGATGGATCACGTTGTCACTCTCTCTCTCTGCTGCTTTTACACTGATCAATGAGCTAATGGAGTGTTAGAGCAAGATAACAGCTTTACCTCAGTGCTTTACACACACACACACACACACACACACACACACGGCCAGGCGTCCTCTGCCGCGCTCTGTGCTTCTGTCCTTGCGGCTCAGTTTAATCTTCACCTTCACGGATCGAGCTGCACACACACACACACACACACACACACACACACACACACACACGGCCAACCCCCCTCAGGTCTTCATTCTGTAGGGGTTTGTAAGAAAGCACAAGTCATTTGTCTTGTGACACTAGTGGACTTCCTTTGGGGTCTGTGGAGGTTAAATGTGTAGATATTCATGATATCTGTCTAGTAGGATTGGGAAAAATTCACATTGAGTCACATGAGCTGAAATTAAATCAGAACGATTGGAAGATGAATTTACCGAAGGAATTAAAGTGTCATGCAAAAGAGGAATGCCATTAGTCCATCACAACAATAAAAATGGCCAAAAACAGATTGGATATTATGAGATCTGTCCTTTACATTTAAGAATTTTGCAGATGCCTTTATCCAAAGAGACTTACAGTAGTTTCAAGCTGTATATTTGATCAGTTTGTCCATTACCTGCTTCATTTAATAGGAAATGGAAGTGTTCTGTAAAATGAAAGTTAATTAAATTTGAAATTAAATGTAGAAATATTTAATTAAATATAATTTATTTTCTAATTTAATTAATAAATATATTAGTATTATAATACTATTAAATTAATAATATTAGTATTATTATTAGTAGTATTTATATTAATATTTTATAGTAATTGTGAATTAATTATACATAGATTATGCATAGAGAACAATCCCATAGCAATAATATAAAATGTTTATATATATATATATATATGTGTGTGTGTGTGTTTATTTTTATATTTTTGGTATAGTTTATTTTTATTTTAGTTATTTTTTTACATTTATCTTACATTTATTTTGTTATATATGTATAATATCAGGCATTATAAATATCAGATTTTCGTATCAGAACATTTCAAGCATTGATTTGCACATATGAATGTGACAACATTCTTACGAGTAAACCATGATATAAAAGATTATAGAAATGTATTATTAAAAAAAGGGGTTTTGTTCAACTCATTCCATGTTAATTTTATTTTAAGTTAGCATGCAAATTACAGCTCCGCATCTTGTTTGCAGTTGTTCAACTGTTCAACTGTTCAACTGCACCTTGTTCAATTGATATTGGGGTATTGAATTGGACTCTACGCAGCACCTAACCCTGCTGTCTGGTCCTCAAATCTCAGTGCTCCGGTCACATCACTCCAGGTTAATCCTCTCTCTCATCCCGTATCACACATTCATAAGCAGTGTTGCTAATCAGGGTTTGGAGGGCAGATTATGTTTTAACGATCCAAACCACTTTATATGTCATGACTCATGAGTCTTTGATTGGCAGGTTTTTGCCCATCTGACTGAAATCACGGTTATTATGTGGCGCTGACGATTTCACAGTCTGACTCAAGTGGAACAGCTCAGGTGTGTGTGAGCGCCTGCTGCTCACTCCGGCCCAGCAGAGAGACGTCCAGCGTGATTAGCACTGATAGAGACCGAAATGATGGGACGAATCTCTCAGAAGCATCACCAGGTCTCTTTTTTTGGAATTGTGACCTTATTTTCATGACAATTGAGCACATTTTGTCCCAAAATGCTTGTTACTGTAATACATCTGGGTGTTTTACTTTTGCATCTGGAATCTTTTATAATTCCCATAATTCTATTACATTCTCTTTACGGTAATGCAATAATGTTTTAATTAAAATCTGCATGAATAAAAAGCAGTGCAACAGATACTAGCATAATGTATAAATACATTACATTTTTTCCCCACGTCACAGCAATGATGTTGGATTATGGAAAATTGAAGGAAATGTGCTTAACTGTCTTGAAAATAATACATCTTTCTAAATATAGGCTTCATTCTATTTAAATTGGACCTGGACATGTAATTTACAGACTTCGTGAGATTCACCCAATGAGAGAAAATGGCTGAGCGTCTTTAACACGAGGCAGAACTAGGAAAAAAGTCCAGCAAACCAATGCTTATGGGCACAGCAGGAAATCAGCCAACCAGAAATAGGAAGAGAAAAGGAGAGAGAGGGAGGCTCATAAGTAATTGAAATGGAGGTGATGTCGCCGATGGGCTGCACTGCTACTGTAACTGTGCAGCCGAGCGTTTGGGATAAAATTGCTTTCTAATTATTCAATCCACCTTTACTTTTCCTCTTGAGAGACAGAGAGAGAAAGGTAGTCTCAGCATGTATGTTGATGAAGCATTTTACAGGTTGATATTTGCACGCCGTTTGTTTTGTTGTATTATGAGCCATACACTTAATGTGCATAAATTTTTTTCCCAGCATGCAGCAGCGGTGGGTGTGTGTGGCTTTACTGGCCCTCCTGACTGTCACATTGACGCTGGCAGACGGTGGAAAAACAGAGAAACACGGTAACAGAACATTTTCTTTTCTGTATCACTCTTACTGCTCTGTATTGCCACATATTGCTATATTTTACCATACATCGCTGTATATGTAACCCCATACTTGTCTGTATTATCCTGTGCTGCACTATAGTACCCCATATGCTACTATATATTACCCTATTAGCCCACATTGCTCTATATTACCTCTCAATGCACTATATTATCCATCAATATACTGTATACATACAATATCACCACACATGACTCTATATTCCCTGCATTTCTCTGTATCACCCCAGATTGATCTAAATTTCCCCTTGCTCCTCTACAGTATATTATCCCCCTGTGCTCTATATTACCCCCATAATCTATATTTCCCACACTGCTCTATCTCTTCTATTCTTACTGCTCTGTATTGCCACATATTGCTCTGTATTTATGCCGCTCTGTATTACCCCATACTGCTCTATATCACCCATGCCGCTATATATTCCCCATGCTGCTCTATATCACCTATGCCACTCTGTATTACCCCATACTGCTCGATATCACCCATGCCGCTATGTATAACTCCATGCTGCTCTATATCACCCATGCCGCTATATATTCCCCATGCTGCTCTATATCACCCATGCCGCTCTGTATTACTCCATGCTGTTCTATATCACCCATGCCGCTCTGTATTACCCCAAGCTGCTCTATATAACCCATGCCGCACTGTACGCTCTCGAGTGCGGGTGTGGGCGGGTAGACACTCGTGTGTGTGTGTGCATTATATTTACGATTCGCGATCGGGGCGCCGCCGACGTTCTTCCGAGCAGATTCAGTCACTCTTAACACACCTCACACCACAGGAAAATCTGATAAGATAATTTTTAGAACCACCAAGATAATCGGGACATTACCTAGGATTGTCGGAAGGGGAAAAATCGTCCCAAAATCAGCCTGATTATATTGTGGTGTGTACCCAGCATTATGCTGCTTTATCTCACAAACGCCGCTCTGTATTACACCATGCTGCTCTATATTATCCCATGCTGCTCTGTTGCCCACACCATTCTATATTACAATGCTGCTCTGTACTAACCATGCTGCTCTATATCAACCGCACTGCTCTGTAATGCCCCATACTGCTCTGAATTACCCCTCAGTACTCTATATTTCCCCACACTCCGCTATATTATCCCACAGTGCTCTATATTTCCACACACACACTGCTCTGTATCACCTCACGCTGCTCTATATCAACCCACACACTCTCTCTGGCTCTCATGCCTACAACTGTACGGTGCAACATGAAAGTGTGTGTCCTCTCACTCTGACAGGTAAGAAAGAGCGTAAATCGGATTGTGGCGAGTGGCAGTGGAGCGTGTGTGTGGCTAACGAGGGTGACTGCGGCCTGGGCACCAGAGAGGGCACACGCACCGGCACCGACTGTAAACAGACCATCAAAACCCAGCGCTGCAAAATCCCCTGCAACTGGAAAAAGCAGTTTGGAGGTGAGAAGCCACACAAACACAGGTTACACACACATACACAGGGCTCAGGGTAAATAAGCCAGCGCTGTGGAGTAACAAGATGGATATTCTCACAGAATTCTGTCCTCAGAAATGACACGACTGCAGTGAGAGCCAGAAACAAGCTGGCAGAATATACCACCGTGTGTGTGTGTGTGTGTGTGAGAGCATATGCCACCTTCCCTCGGGATTTGTAGGTATGCACATAAACTATCAACAAACACTGAAACTGTAGGGTGTTTTCTCTAAGAAGTCTCTCTCCGGGAAGACCGTCTCGCTCTGAAAGAACATCAGAAATCACAGACTTAATAAAACATGATCACACTAAACGTTGAGTGATGAATCCTCTGTGTATTTCTGTGTAGTTCAGCAGCCGTGTCAGCGTAGTTTAGCATCGAAACGCTGTTGTCTGGTGCAGAATTTTTCCTCTTGAGTCTCTGTTGAGGACAGCGGCCATTCAGCCGGAGGGCTGCTGCATGTAATTACATTCTCTCTGCCTTTAAATATGCCATTAGAGACAATTTTGTGCTTGATTGAAGCCGTTTTAACCCCCATCCATTCCGGCAGAGACCGAGAGAAATCGCTCCAACGCATGGACAGAAAGAATGAAAGATGAAATGAGACGAGAGATACAGGAACGAGAGCATAGATCAGGGCTTCGCAATTGGTTTTGCTTCAGGATCCCGATTTTACATTAGCCGTCAAGTGCCAACCCAACACAGAACCTAAATTGTTTATCGTGTAAAATTGCATTTCGATGGTCTCATGCTTTCGGCAGCCAATAATTCACCTCGCAAAACGAACAAACTGTGCTCGGCACGAACCTCACTGTAAGTGAACCTGTATTTAATGTAGCCTGGATTGTGTTTTCTTTTCCCTTGTGTAGCCCGCAACCCGTTTTACTTCCATAATCTGATGTATTTCCAAGTGAAACAGGATATTCAACAAGAAAAAATGTGGTTTTAAACTTTGGGAGTTATTGCATGCTGAAAAGGTTCTCCGTATGACAGATGGTTGAAAAGGGATTGGAGACAGCAGCTGAAAACTTGTTCAAGATTATGAAGACAAACATTTATTTTTTCAGAATAACATGCACTGATGAATCCTTTGCAATAACACCAGGAAGATGTAGTGAGACAGTAAATTTGGATTTCCTGTTGACTTTAACTCTGTTTATGCATGTATGTTTGTTTTGCTTTTGCATTTGCAGTGTATTTCATACACAGTTTTGTTGCATTTGAACTCGTCAAAATCAAGCTGTGGGTTTTTGTCTTTTGCAGGTGAGTGTAAATATGATTTTCAAGCTTGGGGAGAGTGTGACTCGACCACTGGAACGAAGACGCGCACCGGTGTGCTAAAGCGAGCGCTGATGGACGCTAACTGCCCGAACACCGTCAGCGCCACCAAACCCTGCGGCAAACCCAAGACCAAGATACAAGGTACAGGAACACACACATAAAGACACAAAAAGATACTGAGCATGCAATGTGCTAAACTTGAACAAATACAAAAGCAGTATCAACTGATTTGATTGGAGTGCTAAAAACATTTTTGCATTAAGGCAAGACACCACAGGTGAATAGGGTAAAAATGATAATTACCATGCTTCCCTAGTTGATTAATCACAGTACATCATGACAATTGTTATGTATTACAAGTTTCCTGTATTGTTATGTTGAAATATGCAAACAAGGCATTATCTAATTAAATATGCACTAATTTGCATTTCCAGAACGGAACTTTTTGTTTCATTTTGTTAAGTGATTTTAGATTTATTTTTTTATCACTGCATGAATCAGAAAATACTGGCAACAGCCAGAAAAAAAAAAAATATATATACAGTGGTGTGAAAAACTGCAAAGAAGAGTGGGCCAAAATTCCTCCACAGTGATGTGAAAGACTCATTGCCAGTTATCGCAAACACTTGATTGCAGTTGTTGCTGCAAAGCGTGGCACAACCAGTTATTAGATTTAGGGGGCAATTACCTTTTCACGTAGGGCCAGGCAGGTTTGGACAGCTTTTTTCCCTTAATAAAAGAAATCATCATTTAAAAACTGCATTTTTCATTTACTTGCATTATCTTTGTGTAATATTAAAATTTGTTTGATGATCTGAATCTTTTAAGTGTGACAAATATGCAAAAAATAAAAAAAACAGGAAGGGGGCAAAAACCTTTTCACACCACTGTATATATTTCACCATGTTTTTAGGAATACAATGTACTGTAATATAAACCAAGCAAATGATATCTAAATCCCTCAGTAAAATCTTCAGAATATAAGTTTGATGTAAATGCTGCTGAAATGGAGAAAACTCTCACAGCCTTTAAAGATATGGAAATCTACAGATGCAAGACCACAGGTGAATAGGGTAAAAATATAATTACCATGCTTCTGTAGCTGATTAATCACGCTATATTAAGACAATTGATTCAATTACAATTTCACTGCAATATTATGTTTAAATATGCATTAAAGATATCATTTAATTAATTTGCATACATTTACAGAACTGAAATCTAACATTAGATGAAGCCAGACTCAACATTTTGTTGACATTTTATAGAGGGGATTTTGGATTTCTCTTTTTATCACTCCATAAATCAATAAATATTTACATAAATCAACAAAAAAATATACATTTTTAAGAATAACGCGTTGCATAAAATCAGGCGAATGATATATGAACAAACCCCTCAGTACAAACCATCACAAGATAGACAAGAACGAAACTGTATATAATACATATATACATAGTTTGGTGTATATAAGTGCTGCTGAAGTGGAGATAAAAACTTATTTTGGGAAATGGCCTTTAAAGATATGCATTGGAATTGACGTCTACAGACTCAAATTGGTAAACCTGAATAAAATAAACACTTAAAGGTGTATTTTGGATGTTTTTCCCGCTAGTCTGAAATAAGACATTATAAAAGCAAAGTAGCCCAAAAATGGACCAGTGCATGAAAAAATAACTTTTTCCTGTAATGTCTTGCCATAAAAAGAATAAAAAATCCCAATGATCCATATTTATTTAAAATCCCAACATGCAGCATTATGCTAATGTTTGACATTATGTTATGTTTTTCTATACAGTAGGTCTGCATTTTGAACCGATCGTAAGGTTACGCTGAAATATTGATCAATAAGGTCTTTCTCTCTGTCTCGCGCTCAAGAAGATTCTAAAGACTCTATTAAAGTTTAATAAATGTGATGGTTTGACAGTGTATCTGTGTTAAAGGCCACAGACGGCTTGTTGTGTAGGACTGTGTGTAGCCGTTGTTGTCGTCTGTGCTTCATATTATTATGAAGTGAATATGCTGAGATTCATGGCAGCACTTGTACGTTACTGCAGTATTTCTAAATGCTACTGTCTCCCGCTGATGAATCCCTCGTTCTGTAATACTCCTCATTTGTAAATCACTTTGGATAAAAGCATCTGCTAAATGAATAAATGCAAATGTAAATGTTGGCAAAAATTCAGGCTAATCGGAAGAAATTCATCTTAATCTACCAAGAGCATCGTTTTTCAATCTGAAAGTCGCAGATTTAATTTTCCACCGCAAAACAAAACAAAACAAAACAGACAGCAGCATCTGCATTTATTTAACTGTGTTTAATTAAGTCGAAGGAAGAAATGGACAGCGAACCAGTTAAAGATGACATTCAGGTCAAGAGCAGCTTTTCTAAACCTCATTAACCAGTGTTAAAGCACTGTTGTGAATGTCTGGATCAGGCTGCTGGATCAGAACGAGAGAGGGAGATGGATTTGTCTGTAATGGATGTGACTGGTCTCGATTTGGACTTGAGCTCAAGTGCTGCTGCCACCCTGAAAGAGCTTAAAGAGCCCAATCCATCATCAAACACCAGAGATGAAGAAACATAACCGTCTCCATATGAACTCAAACATTTCTTTAAAAATGGCTCCGTACTCTTAATGCAAGTCAACAACTGACCCATTTGTGTCTGCTTTAATTTCTCTTTCAGGAGAAACATATTCCAACTCCAATTTGGAATTAAGATTTTTTCTGTTCACCAAGGCTGCATTTATTTGATCAAAAATACAGTAAAAAGTTTAAAATAGTGAAATATTATTATAATTTGAAATAGCTGTTTTCTATATGAATATATAGTAAACTGTAATTTATTTCAGCATCATTACTCCAGTGTTCAGTGTCACATGATCTTCAGAAATCATGCTAATATGCTGATTTGCTGCTCGAGAAACATTTCTGATTATTATCAATGTTGAAGACAGTTGAGCAGCCCAATATTTTTGTGGAAACTGATACATTTTATATTTCAGGATTCACAGATGAATAGAAAGTTCAAAAGAACTGCATTTATTTGAAATAGAAATCATATAACATCGTCTTTACTGTCACTTTTGATCAATTTAATGCATCCTTGCTGAATCCTTTTTTTTTAAGTCATACCCCAAACTACACAAAATATTGGGCAGCACAGCTGTTTTCAACTTTGATAATAATCAGAAATGTTTCTTGAGCAGCAAATCAGCATATTAGAATGATTTCTGAAGGATCATGTGACACTGAAGACTGGAGTAATGATGCTGAAAATACAGCTTTGATCACAGAAATAAATTATATTTTAAAATATATTCACTTAGAAAACAGTTATTTTGAATTGTAATAATATTTCAAATTTTTACTGTATTTTTGAGCAAATCAATGCAGCCTTGGTGAGCGGACAAGATAAAAACATTACAAAATCTTAATGATTCCAGATTTTTGACGGGTATTGTATAAATGAAAACTATGAAAGCAACATCTGAGCAAATCAAATGTTCTTCTGGAACTGCAGGTGTGTGTGTGATGCTGTCTCTGCAGGTAATGTGTATTTGTGCCCTTTTCAGTGTGCCAACAAACAGAGGACAGAAGTGATTAGAAACTCCCTAGAAACTCCCTACAGATGGACTGGAAACACACACACACACACACACACACAGGGTGAGAGGGGCGTTTTTGCCGGGGTCTGTTTGAGGTGATAAGAGCAGCAGCAGAGAGGATTGTGGGGGTTTGGGAGCGGGTGCCACTGTCAGAGATGGATGAACGGAGGTAAACACACACACACACATCATCTCACCTGCTAGTGCGTCCCGTGGTACAGCAGGCCGGAGTGGACGGGACGTCACATCACTCACGCTGATGTTCATGGTGAAGCGATGAGGATTTTCAGAGCCTCTGATTGGCTGGGCTTCTCTTTGTGTGTCTCTGTCAGGTCAAATGATTTGGCTCATATTAAAGGCTGATTCTCTAATAACAGGCTGAACCGCTGCGGTCCGTCCAGCTCATGAGACGCAGATGCTGATGTGTGTGTGTGTACAGGTTTATATACAAAGTTTCCTGTGAGGGGTAGGGTTGGTGTAGGGCAATAGAATATACGGTCTGTACAGTAGAAAAACCTATATATGTGTGTGTGTGTGTGTGTGTGTGTAAACAATTGCATGCTTTTGTTTTATATATGTATGTATATACAGTATGTATGTATGTGTGTGTGTGTTTATCGTAATCAACATTTTTAATATGTTTGCATAATATATAATACATAATGGTGCAGTTTCACAGACGGGGCTTAGCTTAAGCCAGGACTAGGCCTTAGTTAAATTAAGACATTTAAGCAGCTTTTATAAAAATGCCTTAGAAGAAAACATTACAGGTGTGCATCATGAGACAGAACAATGTCACTGACATATTTAAAGAGCAAGATATTTTTAGTTGAGACGGCTCAAACATGCATTTTAGTCTAGGATTAGCCTTAAGTCTTGTCTGTGAAACCTGGGGAATATGTACAATGTTTTTAATATAAATATATTTCTATTAGAATATATTTTTAAAAGTAACTTAAATGTAATTTAAGTGTTGCCATCACAGGATAAATTACACTTATTAATAGAAATCAGTTCTAATAATATTTCACAGTTTTACTGTTTGTACTGTATTTTTAGTTTTTGTTTAGTTTAATTTTATTTATTGATCGATCGATTGATTGATTTTTGATCAAATAAATGCAGCCTTGGTGAGCAGGAGATTTCTTTCAAAAACATAAAAAAATCTTTTGACCAAAATGCATTTATTTATTTACACAGTACTTAATCTTGACTTGAGATTTGATTATATTGAGATCTGACGTTTGATTGCAGTCTTTTGTGATCCTGTCCAATCTGAGCACAGTTTGAGACCCAGATCTCTTCTGAAGCTCTAGATGAGCCTCACGTGAGATCACTGTGGTGTTTTTCTCTGGAGAAACAGCTGAGAAACTTCATTTCATCTCACTGCCGTCTAGAAGGAACAGCTGATCTGAAGATCTCATTTGTGATTCGTCTTTCCTCCGGTTTATTCTATAATTAGCCGTTGTTCTGGTTGTCTTTGTGTTTGATTGGAATGGGTTTATGCTAATGAGATGCTAATGCTATGAATGCTTGAATGGCATTATTGGACATGTAATCATCATCAGTCAGTTTAATGGAGATTTTCTGCACATTTTGATTGTTTTGTGTGAAAACGTATTTGTTTGGCGAGTTCAGACACGACTGCAGACGGCAGGTGTTGATGACAACGAGAACTTTTACACTTGAGCAGCTCTGATCAACAGGTGACGTCCGCTCTCACTAAATTCAGAAGAATGTTAATTAAACTAAGTCAAGGTTCATTTCATATCTGAGATGAGATTTATGCAGAGGAACCTTTATAAATATCCTCAAATAACAATAGAATCATTCAGCGTGATTATCTGGATTTCTCTTGTCACATTGTCCTCCAAATGATCATGCAATAAAAAAAAGACGTGTTGAATTTAAAATATTTTTTATGTGCATGTATTATTATTTTTTTAAAATCCAAATTCTCATTGATGCAAAAAAAATATATATAAATAAAATAATATAAATATATATTTACACACACTCTAATGGAATTATGGAGAATGATAAATAATTTGTAGATCACAATAGCATTTTATACTGATTTAAAAATAATTTAATGTATTTTTTTTTATTGCTTTAAAATACTAAATTAACTTAAATGTTAAAATCCAAATTCTCATTATCATGCAAAAAAAATTGATGGAAAAAATAATTATGTGGAATGGTAAAATATATTTATAGATCACAATAGCGTTTAAAAATAATATTTCAAATTTTTTTATAAAAAAAAAATACTGTAATATTAAATAAAAAAAAATACTGTAATACATGAATAAATCATAATGAGAATTATAAAAAACAAATACCTCAAAAGCAAAATATTTAGACATATAAATAATTAATGGCACTGAGAATACAGGGTTAAATGTCTTTAATTGCCATTAAAATATTACAAATGTCTTAATTTACAGAAAATAGGCCTAATTTATTTTAAGATACATAAAATAGGTATTATTTATATATATATATATATATATATATATATATATATATATATACTTCTGATTTATGAAAATAGGAGCTTGATGTGTTTTCATGAGGTGTGTGTGTGTGTGTGTGTGTGTGAGAGAGAGAGAGACTGATGTATTGTTCGTCTCCCCACAGATTCACAGAAACCAAAACGGGAAGGAAAGAAGAAGGAGCGAAACCCGACGGACTAGAGGAGAAACTCCAGCTGCATCCTGAAGCTGCTCTCTTCTGCTCCTCGAGCAAAGACCGCATGTGAGCCGCAGAGATGATGCCAGATCTGATTTACAGTTGAATATTTTTAGATCGTTTGTAGCTTTATTTTACAGCTCACGGAATAATACATAAATGATAAAAGAAACAAATGAATTACTAAAATCATCTGCTGAATCTTCTAACGTTGTGCCAGCAGTATCAGACAGCCCAGTTCACACAAATATGTTCTAAGAACGTTTTTATAACATTCCCAATCCCATTAGGTTATGAAAAGCTCAGAATTTTCTCTGAACATTCTAAACATCCAGTTTTTTAAATGTTTAAAAAAAAAAACCTTCTCTTGGTTATGCAGATGTTAAGGGATCGTTACATTTGATCATTTTCCAAACATTCCAAATGTTCTGATACAAGAAAACATTCCATGAACGATGTATAAATAACCCGAAAAATCTGAATGAACGTTCTATTAATGTTACTTGAAGAACTTCTATTCCCAATCCCATTAGGTTATGAAAAGCTCAGAATTTTCTCTGAACGTTCTAAACATCCAGTTTTTTAAATGTTTTAAAAAAAAAACCTTCTCTTGGTTATGCAGATGTTAAGGGATCGTTACATTTGATCATTTTCCAAACATTCCAAATGTTCTGATACAAGAAAACATTCCATGAACGATGTATAAATAACCCGAAAAATCTGAATGAACGTTCTATTAATGTTACTTGAAGAACTTTTATTCATAACTTTGCCAGATCATTCTGAGGATTTGCTGTTAGCTGGGCGCCTGAACATCAGAGATGAAATGAACATCTTATTAAAATGAATAAGATGAATAAAATTTTAATTCATGAGTATGCACTGAAATGAAACGTCCGCATCAAACATGATGTTGAATTAGATTTTGAGTTGTAATTTATGAACAGAAAAGATCCTTAAATGTTCTTAAGCAAATTGGGGGAATTGTCCTTCCACTAAAATGAAATTTACTAAATACATAACATTTAAAATTGATCATTAATATCATCTGATGTTTCTGAAATATCCTATACATAGAACATATGTATGGATAATACATACTGAGAAATAAAGAAATGTATCAATTAAAAATTCAAATTAGAATTCTGCATCCTGTTTGGAACCACAATTCAAATCAAGTTCAATCAAAAATAGAAATTCTCAATTCAGCCCTGCTGGAGAATGAAGTAAAAACACAACTAACGTTAAACTAATGCTTTATAAATGAAATAAAGTCATGAATGTAACATCATTTCCAGTAAATAAAGATGTTCATTATTCCTTCCCATCCGTGTTTAGTGTTTCTGGTGTCATTTGTTCACTGAAAAGAGCAGAACAGGTGAGTAATTCATCAGAACACCTTTATTTGCTAGAACTCTTCTCCAAAAGTATATCGCACGATACAGCAAATCTGATCAATACACCTCATGTTTCATCAGTGATCACCAATCCAGAATGCCGCTCATTGGCCTAATAAAGATCGATAACATTCATATTCATTAATAAACACATGTATTTACAGGTCATCTGTGCTACACATATAGATTATAGAGTATAATACAAACGTTAAGTTGATCACAAACCACAGAAGCCACGACTCACAGTGAACAGAAGCACGTGACGCACGCGGCGATGAGAAGAAAGCATACGGAGTATTTACAGCGTCACCACAAACACAGCTCTGGATATCAGCGGTTTTGGTAGGCCTCTGTGCTTCAGGAGGGTTCAGCGTCCGTCTGTCTCCACACACACACACACACACACACACACACACACACACACACTGTGTTCAGTCTATGTACACACGCGTCAGACGGATGTCTTTGGCTGCTGCGTCGCCCTTCGCTGTTGTTTCAGAGTCTCTCGCTATGAGTGCTACCTTTTTAAGATGTAATGTTACATTGAGAGACTCTTGCGTTCTGTTCAAGTCCATTGCCCTCCGACTAACTGCCTAAATTAGACCAGAAACATACTCCACACAAGTAGGCCTATTGTTAATGAAAAATACAGTACCATTGTGAAATGTTATTTCTATTTGAAATGCGTTTCACGTGGGAATATATATGCGACCCTGGACCACAAAACCAGTCATAAGCGTAAATTTGTTGACATTTTGAGATTCATACATCATCTGAAAGCTGAATAAATAGAAATAAGTTTTCCATTGATGTATGGTTTGTTAGGATCGGACAATATTTGAAAATCTGGAATCTGAGGGTGCAAAAAAATCTAAATATTGAGAAAATCATCTTTAAAGTTGTCCAAATGAAGTTCCTAGCAATGCATATTACTAATCAAAAATTAAACTTTGATATATTTACGGTAGGAAATTCACAAAGTGATTTTTGGCATAAAAGAAAAATGTATAATTTTGACCTATACAATGTATTTTTGGCTATTGCTACAAATATACCCCAGCGACTTAACATTGCTTTTGTGCTCCAGGGACACATATAGTAAAAAGTGTAATTTATTTCTGTGATAAAAGCTGAATTTCCAGCATCATTCCTTCAGTCTTCAGTGTCGCATGATCTTCAGAAATCATTCTAATATTCTGATTTGCTGCTCAAGAAACATTTCTGATTATTATCAAAGTTGAAAACAATTGTGCTGCTGAATATTTTAGTGGAAGCCATGATACATTTCATTTTTCAGGATTCTTTGATGAATAGAAATTTCAACGGAACAACTTTTATTTGAAATAGAAAACTTTTATAACATTATAAATGTCTTTGCTGTCACTTTTGAGAAATTTAATGCGTCCTTAATGAATAAAAGCATTTTTTTAAAAACAAAAAACATTGAAGACTGGAGTATTGCATCACAGGAATAAATTCATATATTCAATAATTACTAAACAGCCCTTTAAAATCTTAATAATATTTCACAATACTACTACGTTTTATGTAGGCCTATTTTTGATCAAACAAATGCAGCCTTGATGAGCAGAAGAGACTAATGATCGCGGCTAACAAAAATATGTTCTATCAATGTTTTGCTAATGTTCCCAATTAGGTTATGAAAATGTTATTTCTGAATGTTCTCTGACCGTTCAAGACATCCAGTTTTTAAATGTTTTAAAAATGTTTCTTCTTGGTTTCATGAATGTTAAGGGAACGTTCCATTTAATCAGTTGGCAAACTGTTACTTTTGGAACGTTCTAAAACTAGTAACATTTAAAAAAAACTGTTAGATGAAAAAACATTTCAGAAAAAAGTTCCATGAATGATGAATAAATAATGTTTTGAGCACATTGTTAAATACCAGATAACTTTGAATAAACATTCTATTTGTGTTACTGGAAGATAACTTTTGCCAGAATGTTCTGAGAACATTCCCTGTTAGCTGGGTCCAAACTTCTGACTGCTAGTGTAGCTATGCTTTAAAATGCAAACTTGATTGTGTGTGTGTGTGTGTGTGTATTTGCTTTGTAAAATATTTCAGAATTGCCTTTTTCAGATCAACTACTGTCATGGTGGAGCAACAATTTGAAGAGAACGGCACCAAGTAAAACGGTCCACGTGTTTATCACAGCTACCTGAATAATAACATCTGTATTTTTGATTCATGTACATGTAGCACAAACACAAGGTCATGGGTTCGATTCTCAAGGGAACAAGAACTGCTATAAATGAAAAGTGTGCCAAATTGCACAAACATCTGAAGGAAACTCTATCAGCCCCTGACCTTGAGGACTGGTTTTTCTTACCTCCACAATAAGTTGAATGAGACTCATTGTTGGCAGAGGAGTCGCGTTTGTGTACTTGTGTGAAATATGTTTGCGGTCTCACAGTTCTTAGATCTCTTCCTTTCAAACTCGCCATTAATAAACCAAAAATTGAAAAAGACAACAACTTTGACGTTTGCGAGTGTGCAGAGCTCTGCTTCAGTTGCTATGGCCACCAGCAACTTCCATAAAGTCCTCGCTCTTCTTGTTGTCTGTCTGGAGTCTCAGTCGAATAATATCCATGTATGGCTTGATTCTTCTGCGCTGAATCCACCCGACTGAAATACTGTACGTCTTCTATATAGAATCATTTACATATGGATAAAAAAAAAAACGTTATAGAAAAGCATCTATGAGTTGATAAAGTCTGCGCTTCAGTATGTGTTGTTCGTTTGTCTCGATAGGTCATCGGTCATCGTGTGTCTTTGGCAGCCGTTCTGCTGTGACCGCCATCACCACGCGCTAGATTTGAGTTTCTCACACACACACACACACACACACACACAAACATCTGGTTTGCTATCCTTGTGGGGACTCTCCATAGGCTTCACTACCCCTCACAGGAAACTTTCTGCATTTTTAGATTTTCAAAAAACATTCTGTATGATTTATAACCTTTTGTACCCGTGGGGCCCTCAATTTAGGTCCCCACCGTGACACGAGTCCCCATGAGTCTGTGTGTAGTCAGGTTTAAGTCCCCACCAGAATAGAAAAACAGGTACACACTCACATACACACTCACACAGACAGGCTGCATTCATAAACCAAACACACAATATAGTTACATACAATATTAGAAACACACGCAAGATGCTCGAGGTGCTTCAGGGGCGCTTTATAAAACACAGTGTGAGCGAGCATGCGCTTTACATTCCTGCGCTGACATTTGGGTCAGGAGCCTGCAGATCACACACACACACACACACACACACACACACACACACACACACACTTGTGCTTTTCTTTCATAAAACTAACAACAAACAATAACATGCACACAAACACTTAAAAACTATTTTTTAACAAAAGTAAAAAAAATACGGATGTTTCTAAATAAACTGAGAACACGCACATTGAACGCTAGAATAGAGATTTCATTATATTTCATACAATTAAACAGATTAGAAAATATATTTAAGCCCTTTAGTATTAATTGTGCTGTCATAAGGATGATTATGATGATGTTGGCTGGATGAAGATGGACCTGAACCTCTGAACACACATGTAAGATTAAAAAAAAGAAGAAGAAAAAGATTCATTAGCTGTGGTCAGATGGCTGTAGCTGTAGCAAAATTTGATTGGCCACTCCAGGTGTCACTCCAAAACGCTAAACTGTGATTGGCTCTCTCTACAATCAGAGGACGGACCTTTAGTTAACCAGGTAGAACTTCCTTGCTTAGCAGGAAGAGTCCTAAAATGAGTCAATTATGTCGATTAAATGGATTTTAGACTCCCAAAATTAAGAATGTAAGTATATATATATATATATTGTTAATATAACCTACAAATAGCCATTTTCTTTGTATTGATGAAGTTTGAGCACCCCATCTAGCTAGCTTGCTAGTGCACTGACTACATGGCCTATACAGCCAAATGTGTTGTTGAGACACCTGACTCCTTTCTGAATAACAGCTTTTATTAGACACTTGAACCCAGATAAGATGAATCTTACAGGTCTGATATACAGTCAGTTTATGGATAGCAAATATGA